GAAAACACACAGTTGCTTTAAAAAATATACATAATTTGCAATATGTAGTAACATTTTTTAAATAACTGTGTTTTCTTTGCATCAATCGATTCAGCTCATTATTCTGTGCCTAAAGGTATTGCCACTATCAAAAAATCAATAGTTTACGAGATATTTCATATTTTATGTCGAAATATAGCATAATAAAGTATAAAATATCCTGTAAAATATTCATTTTTCGATAACGTGACTAAATACTTTTATAGGCAGAGTAATTAGAGGAATTATATTATATACAAAAAATATATAATTCCATTTAAAAAAAAGTAAAGACTTACATATAACTTTGACAAATTGACTTTTTTCGAAAATTAATTTTATCAATGTTTGTTCTCCTTCAGACCGTACAATTTTTATCTGAAACAATTTTTCGTGTGTCTTCTACATTTTTCGAGATATTTATATTTTTCATTATAAATAGACCATCCTGTATGAGAGTGAAAGCTAAATGAGATACAGAACTACCGTTTGTGGGAATTGAAGCTAAAATAAATCCGGAAGACCGATTTCCACACAAATACATCATAAATACAACGGCCGATTGTGAACAAAGTGTCAGAAACCAGAATGGCCTCGGCTCGCCACGCTAAATGTCGCGCGTGCATACATAGCTAAATGTTTGTCGTCGTGCCGAGCCGGGCTGCGTTCATAATCGCGTTGCCGAAACGCAGAATCGTATGTTTAGCGCGTGATGTGAATATCAACTAGCGTGTGCGTACGTGTTATACGTGTCATGCACCGCTCGTGTACGCGCTCGTGCTCTTGGACTATGGAAATTCCTCTAGGCCCGTTGAAAATAGAAATAGCGCAAGGCCCCCGCAGGCTCATGTAGAAAACAGAAGTTGAGAATCGAGCCTGCGCGCGTGCACGTTGCACGTGCCTCATTAGTATAGGTAAAGACAGAGTGGACGGCCGCAATGGGACGTAGTGCGGAGCTCCGTTTTGAAATCAATTCAATTATACAGAATGTGTCAAACGCTTTCTCAAACACAGTTACGTAGAACGTCAAGTGACACTTCTATCGCGTTTCTCAAAATACATCATAGAACGTCAAAACATGTTTCTACGATGTTTATGAAATAAAATTTCGAAATGTATATTCATCTCTTTCAACAATTAATTTTTAGAAATCTTATTAAGATAATAAGTTTTACATTAGTTTACCTTATGTAAATTAGATTTTTCAAAAGAGATATATATATACACATATATTCTTAGTTATTACATATATACAGACAATTCATACGAATTCATATGTATATTGCACGAAAAGAAAATCGAACGATCAACGTCACACTGAAAAAAGAAAGAAAATATTCTCGCGCATTTTTGCATATGCAACTAAAAGAACAAGTGTATGTACATACGTACACTTGTTCTTTTAGTTGCAAGTCATAAAATGACATTGATTGCTCCAGTTTCAAGATATCAGTTTAGCGGCTATGTTTCTCGCAAGAAATTCTTGAGGGGTAAATCTTGAATTATTCAATTCAATCTGACAGTATAGTTAAAATAAATTTTTAACTAATAAATTACAATAGATTCGGTTGATTTAAATTAAAATTTTTAATTAATTTTAGTGTATTTAAAGTAGGGGAAAAAACGAGAAAAAGAACTTTATGTACATAGCTGTGTATGTGGTACTTAATCTTATAAAGTTGATGTAAAAAGATAGTTTGCAAGTAATTTTCATAAGTCAGCGTCAGAAATTTAATATTCCGTCTTGGAACTTGGTCTGAAACGTGAACTTGATCTTTTCTTAAAATTCGTAGTTTAATTCGTCGAAAATGCAAGCCGCAACACTTTCGACTAACTGGTTCAAACTCAAAAGCGAGAGGATCTCTCACCCTCCCTTGAAGACCGCGGCCAGATGGTAACGCTAGTACATAACGGGTTAATGCCGGAGAGATAGTTAGGATGTTAATTAGTATAGAATGGACTTCTCTCTCTCTCTCTTTCTCTAACACAGAGGAAGATATCTACGCGATATACATGCAATACCCGCTATACTTTGGCGAAGGGTAAAGCGCGCAAAGGGCGGCGATCGAAATGATGTTATCCTATGGGCTCGCCCAAAGACATTTTAGCTCTTTCAGAGAACACATGATATTTAACATATGGATACGTTTGCATATAAAACATCCAATTGCATATTATTCAGTAATAATTTCTTAACAAACCGGAAAACACGTAAAAAGCTGCTTGTAATAACTGTTTAATTCAAGTAAATCATATAATTTAACTAATTTGATTCATACATGTATTTAAAGTTGCACGATTATATATAATCGGCATGAATAAGATAATCGCTTGGCGGCAAATCTCGTTAAATAGAAATTAAAATGTTCCGTTGGGCAAGAACGGAACAAAGGCATGTCGTTCTAGATGTCAACGTGAGAAGGCAAATTATTATTAAGCAACAACTTGTACGCCTTCATACATAAATGTTACGCAATCGTCACCATTACCACAAGCAACATTTCCCGACGCCTTTCACTCTCGTAAAGAAATTCTACCTCGTCTCGAGTCCCGACCCGAGTCGCTCGCGATTTAAGAGGGCACGCCGCCGGCGCGGTCGCAAAAAGATTCGCGCGCGTTTAGCGGCGGATTAACGTGAATTTTTGCGAGGATGTACGAGGAGACAGACATTGAATCACCGTAGGAGACCCTTAAACGGTCTCCGAGGTCGTTAACGATGTGAAACAGCCTCGATGCACCGAAGAACTTGCACTGCATTATTCACTTTCGGTCTCTCAGGATCGGATTTTCGCTGAATAAAAGGCGGCAATTAACGTCTATGCGATTCCCACGTGGTAGAAAAAAGAAGTAGAATATTTAAAAACTTCAAAAATCAAGAGTTATAATAAGAAAACCAGAGCATATATTATTTTAAATTTTAAATATCTTTTATCAAGAGAGATAAATGAGAAATCATCCAAAAATATAATATTACTAGATTGAAATTATTTCAAATTTTATAGCATAAAAATCATTGCGTAAAATTATTTTTATTGCGCAATTCATAGCACATTATTTTCAGACACTTTTAAAAGAAAGAGAAAGAAAAGAGATTATTCGGTCCACGTTACATACCATCATCATAATTTCTGTAAAATCTGATGTAATAAAATGGTATGTTTACAAATTAACAACACGCAAAGTCACTTTTCGAAAATACGAAAGACAACAAATAGAATAATCAAACGGATATATAAAAAATATACGTGGAAGATAAAAAAAAAAATCGTTATCATAAAAACATGACGGCTAAGAGAAGAATTCCCAAGGATGATACTAGAGAGAATGTAAAAAAAATATAAAAATAGTGGAAAAGACACGAAAGACGCAAGAAACGAAAAGTGAGCAGAGGAGAGAGAAAGAGTTATGCTTACCTTCATGTTCGAGCGAAGTTATATTACTGATGTCGGCGACAGCGTTGGTCAGTTATTTTATAGCCGACCCCCATTTAACTGGATCCCGAATTCGTCGAATCGGCCTTACGGCCCTCTCTTTTCCCTCCTCAAACCTTGCTACGCAGCTCCGTGAGGAGGATGAAAGGAAAAGACGTGCGTCATAGATGTGTAAATCTTGGATATTCGCCTCGCGTCTTCGTAAATCACTTTACGTCGTGTAAATATCGCTAAATATACGGAAGAGGAATTCGTCAATTGATTTAAAACGTGTTCCAAACTTTCACGAATACTTTGCTTTAATTCTATTTTCGATTTTGTCGCAAAAATTTTTGACCTTAGTCGGATACGCTGGAAAAAAAATTATTCCCCGTCTGCTATGGTAATCTCTTTCCCGGGGAATTCCCCCTTGAGTTTCTCAAAGATCCCCGGGATACCATCTAAAAAATCGCGAAACGATGGATTAACGGATAGTCATTGAGAGAATTTCGCGCGCAACATTAGAGACAAGTGTGCGAGAGAGAGAGAGAGAGAGAGAGAGAGAGAGAAGGGAAGAGAGAGACAGGCAGACAGAACGTCAGCGCTTTTGCACGAACGCGCGCTCGTTAGCGGAATTCAGCGGGAATTGCAAAAATAATATTTGGCCGGCGTTAAGTTAACGGGCGGTATGCTCGTACCTCGTTAACTCCGTCGCTGGCCGCGAGCGAATTATTGCTTCCGTTTCGGTAGCCGCGCGAAAACAGCGCGACCCGCGCGAGAAAAATCACGAATCCCACGCAGATTAGCGCGAGCGTTGCGCAAGCTGCATAAGGATTGCGTGACGGATTGCACCGGGTCGATGATGCGTTCTCTCGAAGGTGCGTGTTGCCGACTGAAACAATTAGCGGCAGAATGTAACGCGAGATTGCGGAATATTTCACCGAAAGTCTACCCGTGTAAGAATTACGTTACATAACAAAATAACAAAAACGATTGTATAATGATGGCAGTAATAATAATTAAATTAAATTAACGTAGTTTAATGAAATATATTTTTGTTAAATCTGAAAATGGCGAATTGTTTAGAACCAATATTGCCTCTCTCGGAGTCTGCAGTTTAATGAAATTTTTTATAATAAAAAATTGTGTATAAATTTTTACATTAATCGACTTGTTATAAAAGTAGTCATTGACTCAGTAACAAAGGAAGGTCACAATTAAAACCAATTGGCAACATTTGTATGTTATATAATTTATACAGCTTTTAGCTATGCGCGTGCCCTGTTTGTCGCTTAGGATTTTATGACTCGTAATAAATTTATCCGATCGTGCATACAATAGGACATGGAATATTGTATTATTAAATTGAGAGAGGCCGGCCGTGTGCACCTGTTACGGACATCTCCCGCGTAATCCATATTTTACAAACGCAATATCGATAGCCGCCAGCGAGATATTTCCTTTGTTCCACCTAGAATTAACATCATTAATAAATTGCAGCATCAAGAATGACTAGCAAGCGCTTCGCTCATGTGCTAAATCGCGAATTTACAAAGAATAATCGTAGAAATGACTGTCGCGTCCATAGGTGTGAAAAAAAAAATACTTAAAATTTGCAATATCATCAACGGAGCGCAATTACAAGATGTGGAACTGTCAGAATGTTGGAAGCTTTTATCCTATCTTTTTTTTTTGCTTTTTAAAACGAAGAAAACTTTCTACAGACATGTGAGTGATAAAATTGTAAACATAAAGGTATATGAGTATTTCAATTTAATTTTTACGTATCCAATAAATAAACTACGATATAACTAATAATTATAATACAAGCAAATTATTATATTAACAATCCGCATTTCCTGGCAATCTGGAGATCTAATTAACCTAATTGTTTATTATTAATTCATCCGCTACCGTTATTCAAATTAATACATCCCGAACATCGGCGATACAAATGTGGAAATCAATGTTCGCACATGCGAAGATGGAATATAACTAATTATTGATGTAAAAGTGGAAAATTATTGAGAGGGATTAAAAACAACATCAAAACTATCATTTTCGTATTGATATCTTCTGATATTACGTAATAAATGAGTCGTGAACTTTAAACCTGCCGATACCTTACGATAATACTAATATTATATGTCAATGACATATTATTAGCATTATATTATTGGATGATAATATATCAAATCAATTTAAAATTTATTACAGATTTACAGTGTATATGTATAAATCAATACACATATTTTATGATATCCATATTTTTCAGAGGGGAAAAAATGATTTGTATACAAATAATCGAAATGCCATTCGCAACTCACAAAGAGATTTTATAACATGCAATTCGCCGATTTTTTCTATTCTTTCACGAAAAAACAACTGAATTATTCATTTATATTATTGTGTAAATAAAAAAATTCATATTTCATAAATATTAAAAGAAATTTAATTGTTAAATAAAAGATTACTGAATATCGGTTAATCCTTTCATATTAAACATACATAAAATTTAGAATTAATATAAAAGATTAATATATTTCGATATTGCGTCTTTTTCCTAATATAAATTCATTCAGAAAGCTGGTTAAATTGGCCAAGGTTTTTGCCATTTTATTATTTATTCAGAAGAGATCAAGATGACGGATGATTCCACTTTTTTACCTCGCGTATCAAAACTTATGTTGATATTTCCTGCGAAAGCGGACTTTATCCTTTTTTTGATATTATCATATCAAAAAGGACTTATGCAAAACGCGTTTTCTTCATTGTGCGCCCGCCAGTATTGACTGATTTAAGGTCACATTAACATTGCGGTTTCTCAGTGATATCGATACCGTCTGTTGGACAAGATGAATAGATGTGATCCATTAGTTATTGTGTGTGAAGCAATAACGTGTGAAAATAAGCCTTAACTACTTCGGCAAATGAATGTGTGTTTATGCATTCTCTTAGTCACGAAGTATTTATCGCGCTTTCAGCATAAATTACCGTTAAAAACGTCGATTCTCTCATCAAAACTAAAAACGACATTACAACACACAAGAGGTATATTTACGAATATACATATATATACACAAGAAAAAAGTAAAATAAATAATGGAGGAGCATCATAGTCTGCTAACAGAATTAATTTTAGTATAATCAAAAAAATAAAATTAAAAATATGAGAAAATTTGTTTAAAAAAAATTAATTTAATACAATAAAGAGAAAATAGTAATAACAACTCAATCCTCGTCGGAACTTCCTTTCTCGAAATTAAAAGTTGACGGAGTCAATGTTATTACATAAATGAAATCGATATGAGAGAGGAGACATCAATGTTATGATAAACGCGTATTAAAGTGTGGTAGTGAAATGTAGAAGTAAAATTAAAGGATAACAGACAATGGAATTGGAAGAGAATGGATATGGCAAAAAATTGCGATAAGTATGCCTGCGGGAGGCGTCTTTTGAGAAACTTGAGAAAAGTCCTAATGGAGGAATTTCCGCGTTTTATATATATATTCTCACGCGACTTGGAATCACCTGACGGGGGTGGCTAGCCTCCGTACTTTAGCGGCCAGCTTTTAGACACTTTTAGCACAAACCGAGGGTTTTGAATCCGCGTGTGGAATATTCCATGCAAAATCCAGACGTAACCCGAGAGCCACGTCCGCCCGCCACTGTGTCCTCGTTCGCTTTGAATTTATTATAACTTCGCGTACAGGGGATGTGTGTATATATATATGTATGTATTTCTGTCCGAACACACCCTTCCGCGGCGCGCGCCTCGGGTCATTCCTGCAGAAATTCAATTCGTTATACGCCCCTGTGTGCGCGTTATTTTATTATGTCCAGACGCCGCAAAAAATCACACTGGGATGCGCAAACTTTTTCCTCGGGAACGACATCCAGAGCATTTCCGGCGTTGTGCGCGCCTCTCTTCTCTTCTTACCCCTTTCAACGCTATAAACGCTATAAAGAAGACCCTCCCCCCTTTGATCGAAATTCCAGCTCTTGAATAATATAGACGGAAGTTATTAATATTTAAGTAAGCGAAATTTTAGTAAAGTTACTATTACTCATATTAGTTTCAAGCGAGTTGTATGTCAATGAAACTTTGAACTGAGGCCTAATATTGCGTCTCTCTATGAGTACACAATCATAAAACAATTATAAAATCCAAGATGTGAAAATCTCTCGTTGCATATTTTCGCTGTTACTTAAAAAAATTGGATCGCGCGTTCACGATATCATACGTGTGTTCTTTTATTCTTTTTTTCTCTTTCATTCTCCTATTCCCCTTTTGTCCGATATAAATTTACACGTGGACGGAAAATCTGTCCCCGTATATCCCGAAGAGATTTTAGTGCCAGACGGACGCGCGTCCACGCATACATGATGCATGCTGCCTTGCGGAGACAAAGGTTGTCCAAGCACACCTAATGTTTGGCACACCGAATGTCTAGTGCAAATTGGCTTACCACATCTCATGTAGAGAGAGAGAGAGAGAGAGAGAGAACGAGAAGTATAACATACAATTATCCTAAAATTTTCATCATTTTCTGGTCCATTCCTGGTTCACCTTGGAGTTAAATTTTCTAAATGGCGAGGCATTTAGAAAACAACTTTTGTGCTATTATTCATAAATAATTAATAATAACGCTAAAACAAAATTGCAATTTCCTGATGCGGATAAAAGAGAAAGAGAGAAGCACGCAAAAAATTTCACTTTTCATGCTATTTGTCCTCTTCACAAACTTATTACGAATTTTTACGATCACGTAGAAGATATGAAGAAAAAAAAGGGGCCACACGCACGCGCGTTCATAACATTTCTATACCACTCACGTCAGTCTTATGCAGGTTCTTTTATATCTCGTGCATATAAATACAAGCTCTGATGTCAAGTATTATCATATAAACACATTGGATAGGTCGAAGAAAAAACTGTGTGTTCAGTAACATCACGTCATTGGTTAATCATAAAAGCAATAAATTGTATTTTTATCATGAGCACATATATAAACACATCACATAATACATAAAACATACGCAAGTTGGATGAAAAAGTTTGTCTGCGACTCGAAGAGAAAAAATGGGAATTTTTAATGTAAAACTGTAAATAAA